TTAATTGTTGGTGGGTTTACTTTAATTGTGAGCCACCCAGATTCACCTGTTGGGGGAGATGGGCGGCATACAAATTTAATAAATAAATAAATAAATAAATAAGGCCAATGTCCTTCTGAGAGTACAACAGTTGCCAGGAATTCATTTGCATCCACCAAGGACAGGACGTTCTTGATACAGGTATAGCAGTTTGGGAATTTTCTCCCTACAGGTAGTCCCCAGTTTAAGAATGAGTTCTGTTCCCAAGGTCTATCCTTAAGTCGAATTTGTACGTAAGCTGGAACAGTATTGTATAATACTGTAGTAGTAGTATTGTGTAGTGAACTCAAACCATTGTGTATTTAACTCAAATCACTGTGTATTTAACTCGAATTTGGCTACAATAAGCTCCATTCTTAACTATGGGTTTGTCTGTAACCTGGGAGTTCTTAACCCAGGGACTACCTGTATTAATTTACACTCAGCACCAAGTCTTGTAAGCTTTTTGCACAATCTATTCAAGTTTCACACCACTTGCTATTCTAACGTAATTTATACAAATAAATAATTGTATCCAATAGTATAAATTCTTCTTGTCTCTGATCTTTCTAAACCCAACTGCTTGCAAAAACTATGCTTTCATTGACATATTTTGTCATCATCAGCTGCTTTTGGAGCAAATTACAGTATATGTGATGCTTTCTCATTGGTTTCCAGGTTTAAGGCCTGTTATGATTATTAAGTGTCAAGAAACAGAAACTGAAACAATGTAATGGCTCAAGGAATCCAAAACTTTACTGACTACATGACATGATAGAATAAGACAGCAATATATCATAAATATAAAATCTTGAGATATCTGAAGTTATTCAAGATTGTGCTGCTGAAATTTTGAAGTAAAACTCCACTTCTTGAGAGCACAGTTAAAACCAGTATGTTAAGTCTACTACTAACTAAAAGACCAATATCTCCTATTTTTAAAAAAAACATCAAAACCCTATCCTGTAACGCACAGATAATTTCTTTCTTAAAAGAACCCCTTTTCTTGCCCTCATAGTATAAGAAAACTTGCCAATCACTGGTATAAATTGGTATTTAGATAAGGGTTTGACCAGAATAACGTGTAGAAGTCCTTCTCCCCTCCCCATATTAGGAACACACATTATTTACACTGTCCACTTTCTCAGCCTCCAGACTGTCAGGGCCTGTTTCTGTGGAAGTCCTTAGGCATCTTTACTCGTGACTCTGGGTCTTTCCTTGTTGCACCTAATTATGGCACCAACATGTCCAGGCAACATCTTTTTCTTCCCTCCTTGGCCCATGGCATTCATCTCAACCCATCCCACAAGTAGGCCAGGTTGCAGTCATCCTTAGCTGTATTTCTCCCTTTATTCAAACATCACTGAAGTGCAGCTTCAACACGATAACATCTGTTACCTTGAAGAGAAGGCAAGCAACTGGCTGTGACTGAGAACAAAGGCAATAGAGGCAAAATAAGATGGCAATTAAATATTCTGCCAACTCAAGGATGGCTGGATAATGCCTTGACTCAGCAGTGGGGAAAATACCTTTTTAATGTCTTCTAGAATCATCCAACCATTGCTGTGCCAAAATAACAATAAAAATGACTCTTAAGTGTCCCTTGGACTGCTAGGTCAAACCAGTCAATCCTAAAGAAAATCAATCCTGACTACTCATTGGAAGGATTGATACTGAAGCTCAAGCTCAGGTACTTTGGCCACTTAATGCGAAGAGAGGACTCTTGGAAAAGACCTTGATGCTGGAAAAGATGGAAGGCAAAAAGGAGAAGGGGATGGCGGAGGATGAGATGGTTAGACAGCATCACCAAAGCAATGAACATGAAATTGAGCAAACTCGGGGAGACAGTAAAGGACAGGAAGGCCTGCCGCAATATGGTTCATGGGGTCATGAAGAGTCAGACATGACTTAATGACTGAACAACAAGTAATGACTGGATGGTATTAGAAAATGTTGTAAGTCACTAATGGGAACCTGCCTTAGTTCCATTCTTCTTCTCTCTCAAATATGATAATTTAGTTTTTGCATAAAGGAAGAAGTACAGATAGCTGGGATACAGAGACACGACTACAAAAGAATTTATGCTACTGGGAGCTCTAAAAATGCAATGGAGAGCACTAAACTTTGAGGCATCTGTTAGAGAATTTAATGTAGAGTGGCCACTATGCTCAGCCTACATATTTGAAAATAAATGTAACTATTACAAACTGTTATAACTCCAAAGAAAGCAGAACTTTGGCAAATAATTTTCCTTCATACAATTTCATTTTTGGGGGACAAGTGGGTTGAACTTTAACAATATTAACTGGTATCCATTTTCTCCTGTGTCTCATTCAGAGATGTATTAACATGTAAGCTATTTTCCCTTGCATTAGAACCAGTCAAAGGAGGAGGAGCGATTATAGCATCATACAAAGTTTTAAATTTGGATTCAATTTTCAAAAGGATTGAATGAATTGAATGGCCATATTCAATTAGGCCATCCTCTCTGTTTCCCATTTTATAAGCAAATCCACCAGTGTGCAAAGCAACAAGCTCACCACGTTTGTTAAACACAGGTGAACCTGATGATCCCCAAAAAAAAGAGGTATCGTAACTGACAATATTAGGATCATTGCGAACTCTTTCAAAATCTTCTGGCATAAACTTATGGATACATCTTGACTCTCTAAGGTAACCACACACAGCGTTGCTGCATTCAATTTTCTGGCCTTGCTCATAACGATCTTTCAATTTACGGGAGCGTTCAAATATACTGATAACAAGACAGATATCCACAGACTTGATTTTTCCATCTGGGTGACCTATGATAAAAATGATACCGTCTTGTGGTAGTGGGAAACGTAATTGGAGCAATCCTGGTGGAAGAGGACTTTCATTTTCTTCCAATTTCAGGATAGCAAAATCAAGATCCTCATCTGATATTTCAAACCAGTTCTCAAAAAAGAAGTAACTGTTTCCTTTAGTATGATTGTCTTCATGAGAGAAAGTCACGCAGGCTAACCGCTTAATTCTGTTTCCCCAGTCCTTTTCTTCAATTCCTGCTCCAACTATCAACTTTACTACATGGTGGCAAGTTAGTATATATCTACCACTGAGAACAAAGCAAGTTCCGTAATCCATTGCTATACTGCTCGATACTATATGCCCAACTGAATTACTATAGCTAGTAAGAGTCCTCATCATATTGACTGAAAGAGAATCATTTACCTCCTTGCCAAACTGTCTTTTATAAACTTCAAAGTCATCCTTTTTCAACAATTTTAAAAAATCGTCAGTGATTTGTCTTAGCTCCATCAGCTTAGGATACAAAACCAGGACACGCTCTTTAAAAGGAATCAGCTGGCCCTGCTCAAAGTCCTGTGGCTGCTGCTGTGACTTTTTAAAAAAATTCGCCTGGCCCTGCTCAAAGTCCTGCGGTTGCTGCTGTGGCTTTTTAAAAACATTCGGCTGGCCCTGCTCAAAGTCCTGCGGCTGCTGCTGTGGCTTTTTAAAAACATTCGGCTGGCCCTTGGAAGAAGCTAAACGGTTCTGTTTCTTATTTGGACCATCTCTGCGTTTGGCACCCCTCTTAGTCTGCACCTCAATTTCAAAAACCTTACCCTGTAAGTTGTCAACTAAATAATTGTTTTGCCTGGTTTCTCCACCTACAGTCAGTTCCCAGTCCATTTCTTTTAGCAGCGGCACAAAGCGGCCATCATTGCACACAGCATCTCTTATGGATTCTCCTTTGGGGGCAAAGACACAAAATATGCAGTGTGCTTTAAGCACCTTAGAGCATCTAATTACCCTGCGGGTTTGTGCTCCACAGGTTCCCATTCTAGAACCGGTTCCACGAACATAGAACAATATACATTCTTCTTCCCTACTGTCATATTGGCGATACCATAATTCGTCAGTTTTCTCATCTTCCTTTAGCTTGTACTGCTTCATTTCATATTGTGAGCCTTCAGGTACATACTTTAAAGGCATTCCCAGATTGATGCAGATATTATCACTCTTTTTCTTCTCTATTAAGTAGAATTCTTCCGTCTCCTTTCCGTCCATCCAGGCACAAACATGGTTAGTAGCCTTGAGGGCAGTAAGCACATTGTCAGAGAGCCTGCCTCTCACTACGTGCTTCTTCCCACTGTCATCTAATGTCACAGTGAATTCTCGTTCTTCTTCGCTTGCATCCTTGTAGCTTGTTGGAGCTTCCTCAGGAAGATCGTTTCCAGGCAGATAATTATATTCATCACTAATTGGTATCTCTTCTTTGATCTAATAAAAGGCAACAATTAAATAAGCATTTTGTTTGTTATTTTGTTTTCATTTAAAAAAAACAATAAAAAGACCATGCAGCACCTGGAACCTATGTAAAGTAGATGTGACACAAATTTTTGTATAGGATATTTTCACATGTGCTTTTAACCCAATTCAGGCATTCCCTGTAAATATAATTAAACCACTTAAGAAAGAAAGAAAATAATTAAGGCCATGAGCAGAAATCTTGCACTCAACATGTCTGTGGTACTGAATACCTTTTCATCTTGAACAAAATAGTCTTAAGGGCAATTGTAAATATATTCAAGTTGATGGGGCTTATAATTTTTCCTGTAACCAGGCACGCTGCAGACCTGAGATTCTCAATCATGGGGTAATTTAAAACATGTTCTGCTCTACCCATATCTCCAGGTGCATGTAATTCCATCGTGTACCAAGGAGGGCTGTGGAGAATGTGGGGAAATTCCACCATGAGATTCCAACACTGAAAGAATTAAAGTTAGCCTGACCCATCCCTCCCACTAATAGCAGAGCCAACCGACGCTTGCAAAAATCAAGGACCAAGGATCCAGTCAGGAGAACAGGATTCTCTTATGTGACATTTAGAAATAGGAAGAGGGCAGGCTCCATATTTGTCTTTCAAGGTTTCTGTTTCCTCCTCTGGGGCAGGCGAAAGCCAAGTTAGCAGAAAGCCCTTAGCCAGCAGCCACACAATTGGGTGTACTGTAGTGAATTTGGACAGGATGCTAGGATCAGTGAAGTTAATTGTGGGATAGTTTTTTGAACTGCAGAAAATTTGATGGGGCTCTCTGAGAGACTAAGGACAAAAAACAGTTGACTCAAACCCAGCCAATCTTCTATCGCTAAAGTATTACCTGACCCCAACCTCTGGAGGCTGTTCAGGTGTGGACAAGACTGAGTGGCTATAGCTGTTTATCCCCCTTAGGTTGGGGAGGTTTTTACTGTTGGTCTTGGATGGGGTAGCACTTCTCCATTTCAGACTGGTGTGCAACTTGTGGGTCCCCCTGGACTGGCAGCTACTGCTTAAAGAGCAGGTAGCAGCTGTGGCCGGAGGGCCTTGCACAGGTTCATCTTCTGCATCAGTCATATTCCTTTCTCAACTGGGAAGCCCTTCAGATGGTTAATCGTGCCCTGATGATCTCACAGATAGACTACTGCAATGCATTCTACCTGGGGATGCCCCTGAATACAATCTGGAAGCTACAGCTGGTTCAAAATGCAGTGGTGCAAGCCGTAATGGGTGCTTTTCATTATGCCCATGTGTCATCGCTGCTATGCAAGCTGCATTGGCTGCCAGTTGGCTTCCATGTGCAATTCCAGTGCTGGTTATCACCTATAAAGCCCTTTATGCCAAAGGGCCTAGTTATCTGAAGAACTGCCTATCTCCAATTTTTTTCTGCCTGCCCACTCCAGGTCCTCTCTACTAAACATTGTCATCTTGTAGAACCAAGGAAGTATGCTTTCTGTCACAGTCCCCACTCTCTGGAACAGCACCCCCCCCCCCAGAGATATGGACAGTACCCACTCTGCTGAGGTTCAGGAAAGCACTCAAGACCTGGCTCTGATCCAAGGCCTGGGGTTAATGTGTTTATGAGGACCTTGTGGTAGTCTCCTGTTACTGTTGGCTGTTTTAGTCTGGCCTGTCTGTGTTGTTTTATGTTAACTGTTCTTACTGTTTTTGGATTTTTTAATATGCCCAGAGTCTACTGGAGTGGATGGCTAATAGTAATAAAAAATTCTAGCAGGTTTCACAGCCTGAAAAAGTTTGAGACACAGGGATGGGCAGGGAGAGACTAATGAAATACATGTCATGACATCCCCATGGAAAGCATGACTCACTTGTGTCCAATGCTAGCACAAAAGGGCTGAGCTTGCATCATACTACAACACATATTTTATCATTTTTGTGTCATTGTGGTTAGTAGTGGTTGTCTGTTGAGTATAGATTTTATTTCATGGATTTTAATCTGGGCTGTTCTGAATTTGTTCTGGTGTGCATGTACGTGATGGACCCTGAGGCTGAGATAACGTCTAGACTCCTTATCAACAGGGACCGAGATTAACCTATTCAAAATTATTTGTTCATGCTTTTTTCCTCTTCTTTTCTACTTTCTTCTAGGCCTCTGACTCTATTACATACAACAGAGGTTTAAGTCAGTGGTGTTCATTCTTCAATCAATCAATCAATCAAGCCTCCAGACCATGCCTTCCTTTTAGCTACTGAAGAAAGAAGGGGCCCACTTGTCTCCTCCCTGGTAAATCAGTGGCAGGCAGGATTTCTCTGGAGAAGCATTTCTCAACCTTGGCAACTTTAAGATGAGTGGACCTCAACTCCCAGAATTCCCTAGCCAGCCATGCTTAAAGTTGCCAAGGCTGAGAAACACTGCTCTGGAATAAAGCAAGCATATGTAGTTGGCTCTCCCCCAGGACTCGTAGGGTAGTTGCAGCAGGGCTGGAAGAGAAGATTTTGGTGACATCTCATGGGAAACAGCAGGAAGGTAAGCCCCCATAACCTCTAGATGCATGTGCTCCATTGCATTTGTTGAAGATCAAACATTCCACCACTCCTGCTACTTAATAGCACTGGCAAACCACATTTTACATAATGCCTTCCTGCCTGGATAACAGGAGTTGTGCACTGTAGATGTCTTTTCATCCCTCTTGAATACCCACACACAGACGATGTGAGCAATAACCAATTCAGAACAAGCAAGAACTCTACCTTTCTACTTCTTCCATCACTGGTTGTATCAGCGTAAGAATCTTTCAACAGTTCCATCTTTACTGGAGCAGGTAAACTGAGGAGAGAAAAAAAGAGATGATCACCTAAACAAGAGGGTTATACTGAATTTCTTCTGTTATTTTGACAATTTTTTTTCACCGTCCCGTTATTCACTTTCAGTGGTGCATTTTTGCTACTTTGGACACATATTTTCACAATAGACTGTAGTTTGTTACTTACATTTATTGAATAAACCAAAATTAATCAGTATGTCACACTAAATCATGATCAAACTAACCAACTTATTGTTGAGTGTGCTGGGTAACCCAGCCATGGTTTCCCGTGCCCCACGGAGAGCTGTGAGATTAAATTCGCGGGTGGGACGGGAGAACTCAGAGTAAAGGAAATCACTATCATTCTCTGCGTCGTTTCACGTTCACAACTGCATTCAAGAATTGTTTACCTGTAAAGGGAGCTGTCTCTCAGCCGAAGGTTGGAAACAGAAGACGACAACGGGAAGGCCGGTAGCTCACCTTCCAGAATCCTCTAAAAAGGGGAGAATGGCGCAACGACCGCATCCTTGTACTTTTTCGAAAGGCGGGGCGGGGCGGCGCAGAGAAACTAACTTCCAATAGAAACGAATATGTGTAGCTCAGGGTTGAACTGTGGAGCCCTTGGGGTTCTCTGAGTTTTCTTGCAAACCTAGCCGGGTAATGAAAAGTTTGCAAGAAAACAACGAAGCTCAGAGAACCATAAGGGCTCCACAAACTAACTTCCCCCTCAACGTCTTTTCCCGCGGCGGAAATTTGTGCCCAGAAGTTTAGCGGGCTCATCTCTGCCAAAGGGCTCCGAGAAGCGATCCCCCGCCCTTCCACTTTTTATGACTGGAAATAAAAAGCAGCTGCTTTCCGAGAAACAAAAGCGAAACGGGATCAACGTCTGAAATTACTTTTATGGCCTCTTGAGGCGCTCTGAATGAGTCCCCGGAAGATAGAGAAGGAGGCTCCAGCCCGCGGAAAGTGTCGCCGAGGCCAGGCGGGCGTTCGCCTTCCAGCGGAAGGCCGGAAAGGACTGGCGGGGGCCTGGAAGCCAGGACCGTTGCCAGCGCGATTCAGAGCCTTGCTCCCTTCGGCTTCCGAATTAAGTTGCGCTCGCACTCCAGCCAACGCCAGCCCTCGGCTGAAAAATGGAGACGGGGCGGGAAAAAAAAGAAACGAGACCACACAATCTAAAGGGGGCTTCACTCACCCTAGCCCAAGGCCTGGGCGAAGAGCCAGGTCTTCAAGGCCCTTCGAAACCCCAGCAGGGTGGGGACCATCCGGATCGCAGAGGGCAGGCGCTGCTACGGAGAAGGCGCGCTTTTGGGATCCCGATGGAAGGCGTCGATTGATCGAAGGGACCCGGAGTGCGCCAGCCCTGCCAGATCGAACCAGCGAGGCAGATGAGGATGATTTCAAGGAAGTGCAAAACATCAGAATGAGAGCTATTGGGTATAAAACAGAGACAGTTAAATATTTCCTCTCATCCGTTTACTGCAGGCATTTCACTTTTCCGAAATAAAGGAGGGAACCTTCCACAGATGGTAGTTTTCCCTCTTTAACTCCAGAAGAGGGAGTTCAAATTTCTGTTTTAACCTCGGCACTCTTCTCCCGGATCGTAAGGCAACTTTTAATTTTTTTTTAAGTCCAATATTTGTGTTTTTAGATAATGTGTGTTTTAAAAAGGGGAGGGAAGGAGGAGAATAGGAAAGGCAATCATAAGGCATCCACATTCTCCAAGAACAAGTAGACCAACTGTGTTTCTACATGGATTTTCTTTTCTGCCTCTCCCAAATTGTGCTACTATTCCGGTCTTCAATACATTTTCTGAAGTAAGAAAAACAAAGGATAAAACAGTAGAAACACAGGGAACTGTTATATACTAGTGTCATCTGAACAGTCCCATAAAAGTTTGTGAATGGGGCATAGCAATTGCACACTAAAGGGTTCACCTTAAAACACTTTTCCAAGAAAGAACCCCCCCCCCATCCCTTTCAATGGAATTGGATTGGAGGGTGTTCTGTCTTTGATAGGAAAGTTACTGGATTTTTTCACTGGAATGGCACGAGGACTGTTCTATTAAAAAATACCTGGTTGGAAACTCAGCCGCATCTAGAACTTTGGGAAAATAGTATCTTTGGAAAGGAGTAGTTTTCAACAACAACAACTCTTCTTCTTCGAACAATTTGGAAAATAGATGCAATGGAAACAATTATGTCCCTCCCCTGCATTCTCATCCCTCAGTGGGTCTTACTAGTGTAACAGACTTGCTTCTCCTCCTCCTCTTCCCCCCATGATTTTTCCCTTAAGCAACTCAATTCACTTAATCATAAGAAGAAAAAAAGCAGAAGGAAAGCATTGAAAACATGGCTGAGGTCTCAAAGTGGCGTTATATATGGTGGTTAAGAAGAAACATTGCAGTCATGACAACAGTATCACACAACAAGTTTACTTGATGATGTTCTCTGTTTACTTCTCACCATCAGAGACAGCTGGTGGCCTACGAAAGAGCACTGGAAGCATTAGCACAAATGCAAACATAAAGATAATTCTGAGTATTTTTAGAGAAGTGTAAAACCTGAACCATATACTTGCTTCAGCTAATGCTTGACCTCAGTGATACCTTCCCATCAGTACAAATATTTCACCAAGAGAGGTATAAAAAGCAAATGCACAATAAAATCTTATTTGAGTCTACTCAGAAGTCCCTGTAGTTAAATAAGACTGATTCCAGTACATATCATAGAATGATACACAGCCTATAGAGCACAAACATATATTCACAATTTCTAATGAATGAACTGTATTTCTATATCCAGCTCTGAATATTGGATTATCTGTTTCTGTTCCTATAGTGGTGTGGAACAAAATAAACATTGGACAGGTATAGTTTGATAGACATGTTTGTACCAAGATAAATAACATCTGTAGAACTGATCACAATAAAGAATCCAATAAAAAAGAAAAAAAATTAAGTAAACATGTGCCAGTCTTTTCATGTGAATAAAAAAATTAGCAATGCCATATTAATAGTGCTGAGGGTGGAACACAGGCTCTAATCATCTGTTGAAGTGAATGGTAAATTAAACACTTAAAGGGCAATACAGTGATTACAATTCTCTTGAGAGATATAAGCACCATCATCATTTAGCAAGCAGTCTATAAAGATGTATGGTGTTCTTTCTGCTCAGCCCACCTCTCAACCTCACAGCGCTGCCAGAAGTCCCCCTGCAGAGGGGTGTCATCTTAGAGCTGACAGTTCTGTCATTATCTTTTCAGCCGAAAGGCACTGCCATGGGGGAGAAGGAAAAGGCCTCTTTTCCTTTGCCAGTGCAAACTTCTGGGTGAAGTCTTGGAATCATGAAATGGCAGCCCGCAAATAGCATTAGGTCATCCTTGGTATCAAAGCAGCAATGCTCAAAAAACTTAAGGAAGCTAACTGTCCCTCTGCCTGGCAGCTTCTTGCATCCCACTCCAGTTCAAAACACTTAGACGCAGCCTAGGGCTTGCCTCTTCTTAGAGCAGTGTTGTCCAAACTTGGCCACTTTAATTTCCCAGCCAGGGAATTTCCCAGCCAGGGAATTCTGGGAGTTGAAGTCCACTCATCTTAAAGTGGCCAAGTTTGAACAACAATGTCTTAGAGGATCCCCAGAAAAGCAATTGAAGCAGCAGAAGGAAGATTGTGAAAAAGAACCGTCTCCGCAGAATTGTTTTTCCAGCAGCTGGTTCTTTCACCACATTGATGCAGGGAAAGCAGAAGCCTCCAGAGGTGGGGCTGGTGTGGTTGCTTCCACTTCTCTCGAGAACCTGGCTGAAGCCTCAGCCAGCAGACCAACCCTGGTCACTTGTTTTTCCAGCCTTGTGATTCACGATTGCCCCTTGTGACACTTACAGCCTGCTTTTCACCCAAAAGCTCAGGTGATATAGAAAGACAAAGAGACATGGTAATTTCTCATTTTAGCTTCCTGTCAACCATTCTTATAATTCAGACTAAGAAACAGTGGCAGTGATCCTACAGTGTTTCATTTTCGTATTTATTAAGTAATAGTAAAGTCCTAGGGGGCTTTGGATGTCATACACTAAGAAATTAAGATCAGTACAATTAAACAGTACATTAATAAATCAGGAGAGAGTCATTGAGAGTCAGGTGGCCTATAAATGGTACAAATATCATAGAGAATGAGACACACACCCCTACAATTGTCTCAGGCTGAAGGCTTAGTTTAAATGGATGCCTTTCACTTGTTTACATAAAGCAAGGAGGGCTGGGGCCAGACACATCCCACATCAAGCAGAAAAGAGAATTCCCCCACGAAATGCAAATGTCTATCATCTGGTCTATGCGCTGTGAACCTTGCGAGGAGGGGAGCCTCTCAGCAAGCTTTCTCAAGATGGCTGGCCAAGAGATTCTATCCAGACAGGCAGATTAGTATACCATGGTTTACTAGATAAACCACAGTGGCTAGATTCATAGATATTAAACTTTAAATCAGCATTCTCAAACTTGACATCTTTAAGATGTGTGGACTTCAACTCCCAGAATTCCACACATCTTAAAGTTGCCAAGCTTGAGAAACACTGATTTAAATCATGATTTACTAAATATATTGGTCTGTATCTATACAATATACTAAGCTACAAATAAGCCAACCACATTTTGGTTTCATATGTGTAAGTGCAGGTAGCAACTTGTTCATACACAGACCTGAACATTTCATGGCTAAGAAAATCCTGAATCCAGGAGTCTTGATCCCAGACTAAGATTTTGTCTATCATCATGTTGCCTCTTTTAAACTCCAGCTGCATTCATTCTTCCTAATCCAGGTCTTGACTGTACATCATGCTTGATACTGCTCTCCGGTCATATTGTTTTCCTTTGTTTATTTATACAATTTATATGCCACTCTGTCCTGTGCCTGACCCATTTTCTTTCTTCTCCCCCCACCCCAAGAGTGGAGAAATATAAACAAACTATCTTTTCCTGAACAGCTTTTCTCCCCAGTGCAGCACTTCCCCAAAAGTGCTAACCTCAAGTTAACAAGCTCAGACCTTAATTAGTTGATTAATTAATGTGCAGCCCTCTGGCAAGCTTGCACTGCTACCTGAAACGGAACAGACCTTAATCAGTTTCAGATCAAAGGCTTTTTTTGCTTCTTATGGGGCTGGCAGCCTACAGTGCCCTAGGCATGTAGCAGGTGCTAGCACATTCCTCTCAATCTGTATTCCCCATTGTGTGCCTGCTTACTCTCTTGTAATCCCTTCTTCTCCAATGAGTATGAATACAAACATTAATTCCACTCTCACTAATTATCCCAGTGCTGGGTGAGCATTCCAAAGGGTGGGGAAGTGGGGGAAAATGTCTATAAGATTTGCCCTTTTACCTGGCTTCCTTGTGAGCCAAATTCCAGAGACAGTCCTTGCCATTTGGGGTTCAATCCCTCTGATGCTGTAAGTGTATTCAGGGACAATTTCTTAATAAAATTTCTTCAAAGTTCATTACTGTCCTGGCATCTCCCTTAGTGTTCTTGTTCTTTGGTATCCGTCCTGCAAATCCTAAATTAAGCATTGACACACAAATTAGTGGCAACACACTCCTTCCTACTGAGCCCTCTTAATTTTTAAAGAAATGTTTGTTCCTCACATTAGCAAAAAACCTGAAGTTCCCTGTCTAAGAATATATTGATTGTCTGCTGCCCAAAGTCTTAATGGGCACTTTTCCATATTCCATGTATATAAACTGTGAATGAGTTTTGCTGTTCTTAAACAGTTCTAAAGTTATGAGTAAGCAG